CCAGAGGTCAAAAGGTCACATTGTCCGTTTTAGCACTAGGAATATTTAAAGTAACAAATGTCGGCGTAAAATATAAAAACTAAAGCGAAACATGTTCTAATTAATAATAGGAACATTTAAAATTTATCTTTAGGTGGTCTTAGCACCGAACTTTTACTTTGGAACGTCGAAAATGATCTTGCATAACAGAACCAAAACGCTTCGGAGCCTGTTTCAAAAACTGTTGAATTAAAATCTCTCCGAATTAGTTTTACAACGAATGCTATACATAATGATACTAGTTGTCTGAAAAAAAAACCAATTGAACAGTTCCATGGATGGACTCCAGCCTGCAGGCCGCGTCACAAATCCTGCCCAAATTTTCCCCGCTAACATTCACCAATACGACATATACATCCTGTTAACTACTATGTACAATGCATTCGTCGGTTTTATCTGCGTCAACGTTCGGGCGAAATTCATAAAAAACACATAAAACAGATTAACGTCGGTTTTCCTAGACTGGGATTCTCGGAAATCCAACCGGCCTGCAGACGGGAGTCCAACACTGAAACTATTCAATTGTTTTTCAGATAACTAGTATCATTATGTATAACAATCGTTGTGAAAATAAATCGGGGAGCTTTCGATTTGACAGTTTTTACATATTTTTGTAACAGGTTTCAAAGTGTTTTGGTTCTGTTATGCAAGATCATTTTCGACGTTCCAAAGTAAAAGTTCGGTGCTAAGACCACCTATTATTAATTAGAACATGTTTCGCTTTAGTTTTTATATTTTACGTTGACATTTTATTGCTTTAAATCTTCCTAGTGCAAAAACGGTAAATTTCACCTTTTGACCTCCAGGATCACTAAGACCAAAGGTGAATGTAGCCAGTTTACATTTTTATTGAAAGTGTGATTACTTTCGATCATTTTCAGCTTATTTTCATGATACAAGAATGACCACGCATTCACTTTCAGTGCGAATGAACCCACTTGACCTTTGACCCCGAATATCTCGAAAACGCCCCAACGGCGGACTGATTACCACTCCGCATCGTATTCTACGCAAAATTTCACTCTAGAATAGTTTGGTTTGGTTTTGTGCCCATTTGATGGACACCCCCCCCCCCCCCCCGCGCTGAGCCTCCGGTCTAATAAGAAACAAGATTGAACTTGAACTATCTGCAAACCCTTATTTGAGTTTAAAATGGCAGTATGATGTATCATCACTCTGGTACAGCGTATACTATACTATAGGCGTTTTTGTGAACCGATTAGATTAGACCGATTAGCTATTATACGCATTTGTGAACCAAGTTGATTATGCTAATCGTTACATTTGTGAGACGATTTAACTCAACTGATTAGGCAAATCGACCTAATCGTCCCAGGAGGTGTTTAGGCGATTAGATTTAACGTTTTCAAAATGGCGGAATGTTCGACATCGTAAGTAATTTTTAATGCTTATTGTTGTTTTTCTCTATAAAAAATGTTTTTTTTAAAACGCATTTGATGTGTTTAATGTTAACTTTATAGTCCACAAGAATGTTAGATCACCTCTGGCTCTAAGCAATTTTAGGCCCTCTGGGTGCCAGCAGTGTCACTGTACTCTGTAGGTAACTTGGACTACACTTGAAACACACGCCCCCCTCGTCATGTTAGCAGAGATATTTGTTTTTCTGATCGGTGTCCGTGATGGCAGTCGTCTTACTAAATCGTAATTATCAAATTTCACATTTGTGGACCATAGCTAATCAAATCGAAATCATACCAAATCGTACTAGCAAATCAAAACCTAATCTAATCGACTCACAAAAACACCTTATGTAAACCTATCTATTGATTCCATTGTACTATACATATGTCTACGCATGTATTTTTGTAAATTGATTTGATATGTTATTAAGCCAATAGAATTGTTTTAAAAAAAGACCAGCGGCTGCCAGGCAGTATACGCCCACATTTTCGAGAGATGGATAGAAAACCAGCTAAACGAAAGTGATTTTTCCTACAATCAAGGGCCATAATTCAGGAAATTACAATTCGATATGCGCAAATATCGAAAGGAACCAAGATCTTTGAGTTATAAACTTACATTTCAAGTTTCAACAAAATCGGATAAAAAATTGTGACCTCTATAGGGTCCACAACCTTGATATACCATATTTTTACGGTATTTGAGAACAAGGGGCGGCCATTTTGTCAGTCAGTTTTGGGCCAATTTTCACGAAATTCGAACTCAGTCGTCCTTGGGTGTAACGGTGATATAATAATACGTTTTTTTAAATCGGATAAAAAATTATGACCTCTATAGGGTCCACAAGCTAAAAACGTGATTTTTCGTACAATCAGGGGCTATAATTCAGGAAGTTACGGTCCGATATGCGCGAATATCGGAAGGAACCGAGATCTTTGGGTTATAAACTAACATTGTGACCTCTATTGGGTCCACAACCTTAATATACCATATTTTTACGCTATTTGAGAACGAAGGGCGGCCATTTTGTCTGTCAGTTTTGGGCCGATTTTCACGAAATTCGAACTTAGCCGTCCTTAGGGTGTAATGGTAATATATTAACACGGTTTTTTAAATCGGAGAAAAATTATGACCTCTATAAGGTCCACAAGCCCAAAAACGCGTTTTTGCGTACAATCAGGGGCCACAATTCATGAAGTTACGGTCCGATATGCGCGAATATCGAAAGGAACCGAGATCTGTGTGTTATAAACTTACATGTCAAGTTTCAACAAAATCGGATAAAAATTGTGACCTCTACAGTGTTCACAAGCCAAAAACGTGATTTTTCGTGCAATCAGGGGCCATAATCCATGAAGTTACGGTCCGATAGATGGACCGAGATCTTGGGGTGATAAACCTATATTTCAAGTTTCATTGAAATCGGATAAAAATTGTGACCTGTAGACTGTTCACAAACAATTTTGGACGGGCGGACGGACAGGGGCGACGACAATATACGTCCACATGAAAATGTGGGCGTATAAAAATGCGCAATGATTTCTAAATTCGAGAAATAATAGTTATTGAATGGGTACAGTAGGTTAGACTTCGTAGTCGGGGTATCAGTATTGACGGAGTCGAATTAAAGAAAAATGTACCAAACCCTTCGATCTTCAGTTTGTACAGATGTAAATTAGTTTTGCAAAGAAATGAGTGAACGTAATAATTTGTATCTTCCTTTTCCATTCGCATAGAATCTAGGCATAGACTTTTCCGGTTCTAAATCGACAATGTTATAAAATCATCGTACAAAATGGCATAATGAACATTTATATCACCTTCCTATTTTTATCAATTAATAATTATAATAATTATAATTTTATCAATTAATAATAATAATAATTATAATTTTATCAATTAATAATAATAATTATAATTTTATTAATTAATAATAATTATAATTTTATATATTAATAATAATTATAATTTTTACAATTAATAGTAATTATAATTTTATATATTAATAATAATAATAATTATAATTTTATCAATTAATAATAATAATTATAATTTTATTAATTAATAATAATTATAATTGTATATATTAATAATAATTATAATTTTATCAATTAATAATAATTATAATTTTATATATTAATAATAATAATACTTATAATTTTATATATTAATAATAATTATAATTTTATCAATTACTAATAATTATAATTTTATCAATTAATAATAATTATAATTTTATCAATTACTAATAATAATAATTATAATTTTATCAATTAATAATAATAATAATTATAATTTTATCAATTAATTATAATTATAATTTTATCAATTAATAATAATAATAATTATAATTTATCAATTAATAATAATAATAATTATAATAATAAATAATTTAGCGCGGACAATTAACTCTCTCTCGGCCACTTTACATAAGGACAACTAAAAATAAAATTACAGCAATCATAAAACATTAAATCACAAAAGGACATAATCGTTAAAAACACAGAGGAAATGAGTACAGGTGCTAAAAGTCTGATACACACAGCTAGAACTGTATTCATTCAGTTGTATATTTGATTAAAAAGTTCCTTTTGGGATACATTTTAAAAGCTTGAATAAAATTTGAACCTTTGCTTTCCTTCCATATCGAATTCCATACATTTTGACCACCGGCTGCGAATGATCTTTCACCGGAGTTAGTTTTGGAAAAAGACTTAATTAAGAGGTTGCCCGATTGTGATCGAGGGGTTTTGGTAGGTTTATTAATATTGAGACGGTCTCTCTAAGGTACTGAAGTGCAGAATCGTCATAAAGAGCAAATTATGTAATATACAAAACGAACTGGGCTAATGAAGACGGGCATACGCCATACAGTGTGCTATGAGAGAAATTTTGCCCGGACAGCGGCACTGCGGCCTACTCTTATATCGAATTCGAACTGTCAAGGGATCTTTTACGTGCACGCCAATGTGTACACGGGACCTTGGTTTTTCGTCTCATCCGAATGACTAGACAGCTGTCCTTGTCAGGCCCTCCGTTCTGCATCACTGACAAGGGGGAACCACGCCGGAAAATCTGGGTGAACTTTCTTGGCCAATCCAGGGATCGAACACTCGACCTCCAGGCTAGCGAGCCAGCGTCTTACCCACTCAGCCACCGTGACCCTCCCTTTGTCCTGAGTAGAGTCGAAATAAACACCAAGAATTGTGTCACTTGGTTTAATAGAGATGTTGCCAATTTGATGGTTTGCTGTGTTAAATCTTAGTAGTTGCTAGCTGCTGCCAACTTCGATTTTGTTTTGTCATCGTTTAGCTTTAAGAATTTTCTCAGCGTAGTTTATAGATATTGGGACTATAGAAACGGGGGAATGAGATAATTTAGAAAGATATAAAGCACATCTACTTTTTACATTTTATACATTGTATATAGTTTGTTGTGAACGCCTATTAATAAAGTGAAATGGTTACACAAAATGTAATTGTTTACACGCTTCCCTTTAATCCCCTGTGACAACTTTCAAAATAAGTAAAGACACTTACCGGTAATAGTCTGTCGTCTTAATCACCAATGGTCAGAGAACGAATGTATTCATTTTACGATTTCGTACATATTTATACTAGATTCACATATGCCCCTCCTACAATTTAAAACGCCTATTAATCACAATGATCCTGCATTGTTTAGCTCCGCCTATAAATACCGCCCATTAAATACGCTTATTAATCTCCATGAACCTGCATGGTTTAGCCCCGCCTACAAATACCTAGTATTACATATTTATAACCTTGAACTTGCATTATTTAGCTCCGCCTATAAATACAATCCTCATATTTCTAGGAATAAGGCGATGGCCGGAGAAACTATATTAAAGATACATTATGTAAGATTTAGATAAAGAACTAGCCATTTTTGCTATGATAGTTCGAAAGTAGATGATGTAAAATGAATAAATTGAAAATTTCATTCAAATTACTCTATTGCAAGCGAAGATATTAGCCTTTGAAGGTTTGACAGACGTGTGCAATAATTTCAACCACCGTACTGGTTGATCGAAGCTAAGTCTCGGTCCTCCGTATTTGATTAAAACAAAGTATCGCTGAACCATTCTAATTTATTTAATATCGGAGAAATCTGATGCCATCGAGAGTTGATTAAGTCCTGGATCAGCTAATTAATGTCTAATTAATACTTTGGAAAACATTTCAGGCCTAAAGAAAGACCTGCAATAGGCAGATTTAGCTCTTGCATAATGCATGTTTAAGCGTTCTATACTGCACGCATTATTTATTTTTACACGCTACCAATACTAATAGACAATAACAACAGATTTTACTGTACACGTTATGATTGTGTTAGATCACAGATACAAATAGTCAGTATTGCCCTGTACACTATATATTCAACACATATCTCCATTAGGTTTCCTCGACACATGGGAGCCACAATGGCTAAGACGACCTTCGGTTGCACGGATTTTCTTACTGTAGTTCAACCTGTGGTCGTGACCAGTCATACCATAAGATAGAGCACGGTCGAAATAGTTCAGACTTTAGTTGCAACCATAGTCTACATCCGAAGGTCGCCCAGGTGATTAAGACGCTGGCTCGCTTGTCTGGAGGTCGCGGGTTCGCTCAAGGCGTTGGCTGACAAAGTTCATCGGGATTTTCCGGCGCGGCTTTCCCTTGTCAGTGGTACAGGACGGGGGGCCTAACAAGGACAGCTCTCTAGTTCGGATCGCACGAAACACCGAGGTCCCGCGTACACATTGGCGTGTACCTAAAAGATCCCTTGACAGTTCGAATTCGATATAAGAGTAGGCCGCAGTGCCGCTGTCCGGGCAAAATTTCTCTCATAGCACACTGTATGGCGTAATTTCTATTTCATATTGTTGTTAACATGCATAAAACTTCCTTTAAGTATGTTTACATTTGTGAAACTCTTTGATTCCTTGTACACATGAGTTATGACTGTAATGATATTGTATTGTTTTATTCATTCACTCATTCAATTAATTTGGAAAATCTTTATAACCTGTCATTGGTATTGCATGTTGAATTCACCACTGTCAGACTTTGTAAATTGCTTGTATAACATTGCCCATATAACCTCGAGCCATATTCCATTTGTGCGGTATATCTTTGCCTTGTGTAGCCTACATGTAGACCTAGGTAGAACACTAAGGAGTATTGACATCTTCTGAGACAAATATCCATTGCGCAAAACAGTCTAAGGACTTTGTATTTTAGTCTTAGCCATGTAACCTTTTTATTATACATGTAATATCCTATTGTTATGTTGCCCGTGCTGTGTTAGGGATTATTATGATTATTACTGTTGTTTTTGGTCAAGTGAGTACATGTGCTTCTCGGCTGCCATTATTGAATCTGATTAAAGTTTAAAAACATAAATTTCAATTTGTTATTCTCTTTAGGTCGACAGTTCATAACAACGGGAGGGCTACATGAACCAAATTTATTCGACACTGGAACTCAAAATAAATGTAAGCTATATTCTGGCAAATATTTCTTTTATCATTCTTCTTAGTCGTTTGTCCAATCCTACTTCCAGTTCTTTGGAATCTGATCTCTTATTTCATACTCCAATATGCTTCCGTGTAGTATTTACCTCCATTAGAACGCATGACCTGTTCTACCAAACTTATAATTGCATTAACATTGCGCTCATTCGATCCAGGGGGTCGGGACATGCACCAAAATAAATAGTTGCTATCCTTGCAGTATAAGGAATAAATATGCCAAGTTCCAAGATGATCCATTTAGAATTCCAGCATGTAGACAAAAAATACAAAAATTGGGCGTGGCTCTGCCCCTGGGGGTTAAACATGGACCAATATATAAAGGTACAACCCTATGCTGGATTATTTCGAATTGGATCCAAATCTGTTAATAATTGCAACCTGTATATCATTTACAGACAAAATATCAACAACAAGGTGGATGTGGCACCACCGAAAGGGCAGGGGTTGTTGGGGTGTAGGAAGTGGCGTGCGCCAACATTAATAGTTGCCGTCCTTAGGGTATAAGGAATGAGTATACCAAGTTCCAAGCTAATCCATTCAGAATTGTGGCCTTTTGGGCGCTAATGGCAAAAATTGGGCGTGGCTCTGCCCCTGGAGGTCGGGACCTCCACCAAAATCAATATCAATAGTTAACGCCCTTAGGCTATAAAGAATACATATGCCAAGTACCAAGTTGATCCATTCAGAATTCCGGCCTGTAAACTATAAACACAAATATTGGGCGTGGCTCTGGCCCTGGGGGTCGGGACATGCAGTTACCGTTCTTAGGCTATAAGGAATACATATCCCAAGTTCAAAGACGATCCATTAAGAAGGCAACACACAGAGACACAAAGAAAAAAATGGATGTGTCTCTGCCCCTGGGGGCTGGGCAATCGCCAAAAACGATAGGGGTCATCCTTAGTATATAAGGAATAGGTATGCAAAGTTTCAAAATGATATGTTAAGAATTGCGACCTGTAGGCAAAACACAAGACACAAAAAACATTGGGCGTTGCTCTGTGCCAGGGGATCGGGCATGCACCAAAAATAATAGAGGTCAGCCTTAGGGTATAAGGAATAAGTATAAAACAGTCTTTAAGACGATCAATTAAGCATTGCGGGCTGTAAGTGACACACAGACACACACAAAAAGAAAATGAGCGTGGCTCTGCCCCTGGGGATTGGGCATTCACCACAAACAATAGGGCTGTTCCTTAGGATCGAAGGAATTGGTATGCAAAGTGTCAAGATGATACGTTAAGAAATGCGACCTGTAGACGACAAACAAACAAATACAAGAAATGGGCGTGGCATGCACCAAAAACAATAGGGGCCATCCTTAGGGTATACGGAATAAGTATACAAAGTTTGAAGAAAATCCAGTAAGAATTGCGCCCTGTAGGCGACCCACATAAACACACACCATCACACACACACAGACAGGGGCGACGGCATAATACGTCCACATTATGAATGTCACTAGGTAATTAGAGAACAGGAGAAAAATAGAAATTTGTTTGTTGAAACCTTCATTATCCATCTATCGTAGCAATGGTCTCTGTGATAAAAGTATATTTGGAACGGGTTAACCAGTTCTACCACATATGTGATAATGATTGACACCAATATTGTCCTTAAATCTTACATAATGCCCCTTTAAGTAAGATATCGATGAGATTTGATAGTCTGTTAGTACGGGAGCACGGCCCGGCAACCGGCTATTATTGGTCTGAATGGGAGATCGCCTGGTTGGAAGACATATATATATATATACTATTATTAACCCAGTATTGAAATCGGTTTGTGTCGGTATACCTTTAATCGATTCGTCGTTTACCATGAAATAAAGTAAAGCAGCTTTACGGTTGCACTAATATTTTTGAATACTATTAGCCAACTTACCTTTAATGTCGCTAGTAGCCATCGTCTGTTGTGACACTAAAAAAGAAATGTGTATATATTTCTGAATTGGAGAAATAATAGTTATTGAATAGGTATAGTAGGTTAGACTTTGTAGTCGGGGTATCAGTATTGGCGGGTACTTTACATAAGTACAAATAAAAATAAAATTACAACAATCACAAAACATCAAATCATAAACAGACATAATCGTTAAAATCACAGAGAACATGAGTACAGGTTGTAAAGGTCTGACGCAAACGCAGCTAAAACTGTATTCAATCAGTTGTATATTTGATTAAAAAGTTCCTTTTGGGATACTTTTGAAAAGCTTCAATACAATTTGAACATTTGGTTTCTTTTCATATCGAATTCGATACATTTGGACCACCGAATGCGAGTTAGTATTTGAAAAAGGCTTAATTAAGAGGTTGCGCGATTGTGATCGAGGGGTTTTGGTAGGTTCATTAATATTGAGAAGGCCCCTCTAAGGTACTGAGGTGCACAATCGTTATAAAGAGCAAAATATGTAATAGACAATATTTTAAAATTGATGTGTCGATATTGGTGTCATAAAAGCATTTGGTTTAGTCTTGGTTATTATCCGGGCTGTTTTATTTATTTATTTTATTTTAAGTTTATGAAATTGGTTAATTTTATTGTCTGGTAGATTTTATAAAATGAATTACATCAGTTGAGTCTTGGTGTAACCATAGTGTTTACCAGGATTTAAGAGGTGTTACACGCAATGATTAATCTAATTTTTCTAATATTATGAATTTGAAAATTAATACTTTTACACATGGCCGAAGTTTGTTTCTTCATGTCCTGAGTAGAGTCGAAATAAACACCAAGATTGTGTCACTTGGTTTAATAAAGATGTTGCCAATTTGATAGTTTGCTGTGTTTATTAGTTGCTACCTGCTGCCGACGGGGGAATGAGATAATTTAGAAAGATTAATAAAAGCGTATCTACTTTATACAGTCTATTTATTCAGAGAAATGGTTACACAAAATGAAATTGTTTACAAGCTTCCCTTTAATCGACTGTGCCACCTTTCATAGATACTAAAGATACTTACCGGTAATAGCCAATGGAAGGTATTTATAGGCGGGGTTATAAGTAAGTGTATTTAATGCAAGATATGTATAGAAATAGAATCTTCATAATTCTAGGAATAAGGTGATGGTTGGAGAACAACGTACTAAGTGTTCTACGCTACCAATAGACAATAACTCGCTATGAATTCAGATAAGATTTTACTGTACACGTTATGATTGTGTTAAATTACATATACAAAGTCAATATCGCCTCGTACACTAGATATTCAACATATTTATCTAGTGGGTTTCTACGACACATAACTGTATATTCATGGTGTATATATGTTATTAGGTTTCGAATCCCCGGTTGTACGTGACAAGGAGTAGGGTCGCCTGTCGAACCTCGTGGGGTTTCTCTGGGTCCTCCTATTTCCTCCCACTGCTAAAGACCCCTACGCGCAAGCGAATTATTGAAATAAAATTGAACCATGTGTTAGTCCCGAAATGACCTAGTTTGTGTCGAGTGGACGTTAAACCCCATTTCTCTCTCTATATATATATATGTTATTAATTCGGTTATATATCCGTGATAAGGTAAATGATTTCTCTTTCGCATCTGAAAACAATACGAAGCAAAATATTTAGATGACGATTACACCAAATTATTCCATGAGCAGAATGTGCGGATAAACAATACGCCAAATTGTCCCTCGATGTATTTTCCACACTTAAACACCCACAAATATTTAGGATATATAAAAAAAAACCATATCGGATTAATTAACAATTTATAGAATTACAAAAATATATAGGATTTATATAAAGTATATAGATTTACAAAAATCTGGATGAACTTTCTCGGCCAATGCAGGGATCGAACATCACATCCGATGTCTTAAACACCTAGCCACCCATATAGAATTTTAAAAACTTATAGAATTTATAAAAAATATATATGTCTAGAAGCAAAACTATAGGTTATAACATTGAAAAATGGAAAACGCACTTCAATAAAAGTTAACAATTTATGCATGATAATTTATGCTATTTTTAAGAACAAAAAACAAATTTTAAAAAGAAGAAAATATATACGAATGATTTTTATCGGCGTGATTGTTGTTATATTAGTTTATTTATCCTAAGTATATGTGTGTTCGATCCATGCTTTGGGCGAGATAGTTCATAGAGATTTTCAGGTGTGGTTCTACCTTTACTTGTCCGGCCTGCAGGGCAGAGGGCACGCAAGGGACAAGGTATATTCGTTCGGATGGGACGACAAATGCACGTAAAAGATCCCTTGGCAGTTTGAATTCGGAAAAAGAGTAAGACATAGCGAAGTTGTCTTTGGAAAATTCCCTCATAGCACACTGCATAAATATTGCGAATGCCTGTCTTCATTAGCTCTTGTCGGAGCAGAACAGTATCTTTACCATTGATATTGGCACTCAGCAGACTCGCCGATATTAAAGATTTCTGCAACAGAAGAAATCTGCCTGTTAAGTGTTCGTTCACATACCATCACTAAAGTGAGGCCCTGGTGATTGGGCACCAAGAACACAATACCTTAGCCATCTTATATCGTAGCAACATTATAGGGTAGAACATCGAGCAATCATGTATATAACGATGACCATGGCAGAAATTTGTAGGTTTACCATTCAAACAATATAGAAGACAGAGCTAATGACAAGTAAACCAAATTTATTGCACACTGTAACTCAAAATAAATGTAATAAACGTCAATATTTTAAAGATAACTAAAAAGCAGAATTCATATCTCAACACCGACGTTATTTGTAGACGTAAATTTTCAAATAGTCACCGTAAAGAACCCAGAGAATTATTGAAATAAAATTGAATTGTATGCTAGTATTGAAATGACCATTTATCTCTTTCTTTCTCCTATATATTACCATATATTCAGCTCGCGTTAAGATTCTTGTAATTTTAGTTTTATTCTTCAGATATAAGACTAGTGCTACTTGGAAAGACAGGCGCAGGCAAAAGTTCACTGGGAAACATTTTGCTTGGGAGAAAAGTGTTTAAATCCACTCCTCTACAAACCTCTAATGCATTGAAACTTGAATGTCGTCATGGATCGACCCAACTTACAGATGGAACCAACCTAATTGTTGTTGACACACCAGGAATTGTGGACACTACAACTTCGACCACGGAAACATTTGAAGAACTTACACGATGCATAGAGCTTTCAAACCCAGGTCCGCACGTGTTCCTACTTGTCCTGAAGATTGATAGATTTACACAGGAAGAGATGAACATAATCAAACATCTGAAATATTGGTTTGGGCAGGATTTCATGAAGTACGCAGTATTTATTTTCACCGGTAAAGATTCACTGGATTATGATGGTTCAACGATTGACCAGCATCTTGAGGGCAGTCCATCTGAACTGAAAGATCTTCTCGGAGATGCAGGCGGACGGGTTGCAGCAATTAACAACCGAGTTCCCGGACCAGAACTTAAAGCTATAATGAAGTTGGTCAAACAAACCATACAGGTTAACAATGGTCAATATTACACCAAACATAGGTACCTGCAGGCTGTGAAGGAGAGGGAGGGGCAGCCAAGTCTGGTGGAGGATGAAGAGTTTGACCATGTGAAGGATTTGCGATTACGGGAGCGAGCGAAAAAGTACAAAAGACGCGGTGTTGAACCGAGATCAGATAAAGTAAATTTGTTTCTTTGTTGCGCTGGGTGTGTTTTTTTGACAGCAGGGTGTTGCTATTACTATTTTTAATAAATGCAGTAAATGGATAGTAAGATAATTTGGCTGCCTAGGATGTGTGTGTTGGGGAGTAGGATGTTTATTAAAAGCTATTTTTATTGTTTTTGTTCGATGCTGTAAATGGGTAGTGTTTTCCACTTGATGATCGGGACTCGTATTGTTCTGCTGTGAAAGTTAGAAATACCGGAAATGACACAACAAAATGACACGTGCCGATAATATGAGAAAGTTTGTATTTTAAATATTAAATATTTATTTCTCTTTTGTCTGTGTTTATTTTCTACATTCATTCATTCATTCATTCAATTACTCTAAGAAAACAAACCGAACTCATTTCTTTAAAATACTACTAATTGTTCGGTGCCTTTTCTATAATATGTCATTCAAAATATAAACTTAATAGACTCAAGGCAAGTGTTTTAGGTCTGTCGTGTTTTGTTCTTGTGGAATGTGGTACCACACAGGCACCTAGGGAGGTCTCAGAAGAAACTTCTGAAAATATAGATTTTTTTTTTATGTCCAATATCTTGTGGAACTCTAGCAGTGAATGTGGTACCACACATGTATATATAGGGAGGACTCAGAAGAATGATTTCAAAAAGTCCAATATCTTGTGGAACTCTTGTGTAAAATACACCACAGACCGAAAATCTTCTGGAATGTATTTATTTTGAGTAGTCCAATATATTGTGGAATTCTTGTGGTGAAAAGTTCCACACAAATGCCCCAAAACCTTGCCATAGATGAGTAAACACGTCCGACTAAAGTGCGTAGTCAAACAAAAACAACAAAAGAGTCATTACTGATCAATGGTGATAGACAAAGTGTCAAATTTACAGCAAACAAAAATCAATCAATGACAATTATTATATTCACAGATATAAGATACAGATAAACGATTTCAGTGAATAGAAGACATATCTTTAAATGAAAAAGAGAGAGAGGGTTTGACATAAAGAGGGGGAGGGGGTACGTCCACGCGACACAAACTAAGTCATTTCGAGACTAACGCATGGTTCAATTTTATTTCAATAATTCGCTTGCGCGTATGGGTCTTTAGCACCGGGGGGAAATCGGAGGATCCGGAGAAAACCCACGAGTTTGGACAGGCGACCCTACACCCTGTTACGCACAATCGGGGAATGGAAACCACGCCAGTTGACTCAATGACAGACCTTATGATGCAGCACGCACAAGTCAACCATCTAATAGCAACCTGAATAACCGGTGCCGGTTGTCTGTTAGAGGTCAAGGAGCGGAGCTTACCTTGTACCCCCCACTCCCAACCTCCCACACCCTACAAAAGAACAATTTCCTGGTGGAAATCGTCAAAGTGGGAACCTAGCATTAAGGTGGTTGTCTGAACATCTTCAATTTCTATTGTAACTCCTCACTGGTTTGCACGAATAAATTCAATAGTCAGACCTTGTATGCTCCTTAAAGGACAATATTGGTGTCAGCCATTACCACATTAAACACGTTCCAACTATGATTTTAACACAGAGATCATTGCTACGATAGATGCGCAAGGAAGATTTCAAGCAACCGAAGTGACGAAGGCAAAAGGAAAACACGAGTTATCCTTCTATATATAACTGACTGAAGTAATGGGCGATAACAGATACACGGGCGAATTTCTGCTGACTGATAATTCCTACGAAGACGAAACGTTGTTATCGGAGACTGTATGAGGATATCTGACAATTTATAAAAGGAATTAATTGTCACTAGATAAGAGAAAACGTAAACAGTAGACAAAAAGCCGTGTACGTATGAAATTTAAACGCCAAAATATAGGTATTTACCTTGTCGCAAAATTTCAGCTCAAAGTATTGAGTCCCTTTCGACGTGAACGTCAAAATCGCTTATCGGGAAACGTAACCCTTTTAAGATTTCGGTTCATTTTTTTCTTTGGGTGAACTTATAATATATTGCAGTGCCTTTAGAGGTCGATACACTACGTGCTGTACTTGATAACGAAAGGTAAATTTAACCTACATGTTATTTTTATAAAATAAGTCAGGTTTTATCCAGACACCGTATAATACAGCTTAGGACACCGGTCTCCATATTCCAGATAATGACTGACGGGTTTAAGTTGTTTGATAACGTATCACGTATATTGAGTTAGTTGCTCTGAACTAAGGTAGGGGATTTTAAGGCCCTTTAACACAAAATTAAACAGTTACATTCTCCAAACTGTAAAAGAGTTTGGCCCTTTAACGCCGTCACATGTGTAAAAATAAAATAGATTTTTGAGTAACCTGAATAAGTAATAATATATAATATAATGTTCTACTCTGACTATATAATATAAAGACGGTGTGAGAAATTATATACGTATATGTATAACATCAACGATAAATATATGCTTGGCGTAATTCATTATTTATACATTATGTCATGACTTTAAAAAAAAAATTAATAAACCTTTATATGGCAAATATCTAGAAACATCAAATTAAAATATTATTATGTATGCATAGCATGGTCAGTAGACTAATGTCGGGTTTATACATATATCTCGCCAAACAAAATATATTTTATCTAAAATAAATATGGCTGTTTAAACATACGCCACGAATACGAGTAAAGATAAACACGACCCGGGGTTAAATCTATCGATGTGCACTCTGCCACCTATATTAGTCCTTGATGGTGAAGTATTTAGATTTCATATTCCCCGGGAATTTCATATTCACCGAAGATTTTGACGTCATTGATATATCACAGTAAACTATATTCCCCGGGATTACAAGAATCTTGAAAAACAATCTATCAAACTTAACCTCTTTATAATCACCCGATTAGATTTTATTACATACTTCGAGAAGGTATTTGTTGAGTAATAAAACCTTCTAGTAGTTTATCGAGGGCTGGCCGTCCTTACCGCACGGTACAAATAAAACCTTCTAGTAGTTTATCGAGGTTCCTCGATAGCTCCTTTTGTAGTTCCATTTAGCGCAACAGCAGCAAGTGCATCCAAAATCATCAGAAAACACTATACTGATCTCTAAGAAAATCACCCGAAAATATTCACACAGAAACTAAGAATTGCATATTCTAAAAATAAAAATCTGAACGACATCCTAGTGCACAGTAAATTAGATTAAATAAGACCAGTCTCCACCCTGACCCAAAACAAACCATATATCAAATCCTATCCCTAATAACCGTTAGTAAATAAAATCAATTAGATATAAGAATCCCTAGCCCTAACCCGGTGATGTGGAACAAACACGATTTTTTAGAAAATCCCATCCGTACTAGGAAACACACTAATGTGGCTCTCTCCCGAGAGCCTCAATTTTTTTTTTTTTCCTTCAGAAACAATAATACCAGAATACCAGAAGCACCACCCAAGGAAGACCATCAGCGCCACCAACACCAATAAACAGTGAAATCGCCTTTGTATATAAATCTAATGTATTGTATGTATTTTTAATAAAACTAGGAAATATCACGAACTAATTTTTCATCATCCTAGGTCAGTGCTTATGTGGAGACTTAACCTCTCCCCCAAATTCTTAAACCTAACCCTTTTTAAAAGACTGAACTTGGGTCTAGTTTAGTTTTTACTTCTCTTAAAAGGGTTAGGGTTAGGGTTCGGGTTAGTATTCCCCTAAATACTCATTTGTATAAAGCGGCCATTTTGGTATGAGTTTTGGCTTGTTCTGGAATTTGTTGCTTCTAGTGGTGATAATATTTGTACCGTGCGGTAAGGACGGCCAGCCCTCGATAAACTACTAGAAGGTTTTATTACTCAACAAATACCTTCTCGAAGTATGTAATAAAATCTAATCGGGTGTTATAATAGATATGCTGGTGAGATAACTATAGTTGAGTATGTAACTAGTTAATAGAATACAATTATATCTAAATAGCTAATAGAATACAATTTTATATTCAGGGGAACGGGACAATATACTGACCATAGCATATAGCAACATGCATGGCAAGTTAACCGTAACATTTGACATATTCATAGTGTTATTAAAATTAAAGGTTAAAGGTAGATGTTATAGTTCCATTTAAATCGTGTCGGTTGTTGTATTTGAGGTAGTGTATGCTTCATATTTTTACAAGGAGCTATATTGCTTTAAACATTTTGTCAACTATGAGACGGGCTAAATCCAATCACAAACATAATAAAATCATATGCATAAATAACAACAAATTTCTTAAAAATGAAAATAAATAAATATCACAATGCATATACATGTAAATATTTAAAATATAAATATGAAAAGATAGCATGTATATACAATTTAATGTAAAAACATTTATAAAAAAAAACAAAAACATCTCATTTAAAATGTCTAACGTATTACAATACTGACCCGGTTAGGCAAATACATTTTATACTGATTGGCAACGATAATATTGTCCATCAGTAACACATCTGAAAATCATCAACATAAAGGAGAGCCGTGGAAATAAAGATAATCAAGCGAACTCGTGCACACAGGTTATGGAGGTCATGCAAAATACAACATTTTTATGTGGTGTCGTAGGCTTTCTCCAGACAACACAGTTTAGTGTTGTTTCTGGATGCAAGCGTCACCGATGAACGTTTCAAGGCTAACGAGGGTGTTCCTTTGGATCCAAAATCCACATTAGAGGTCTGTAAATAGCTTGCTGGACCTAAAGTATCAAACAGCATTTCGGCTGATTGACCTCTCTTTTTCGTTTTGCAAATATATCTAGTTAAAATGGATGATAATTATTAGTAGGATCTTTACCAGGTTTAAGGATATACATTTTTGTTGTCTCATGCCAGGATGGATGAAACTTCCCATCAAACCAATTCTAGTTACAAAGATCCAATAAAACTAAAAGGTTAAATGTTTCAAAATCTGATATTGAATTTCAACTCGACCAGAAGCAGTATCACGGATCAGCTTTAAGGAATCACGCATATCTGCGATGAAAACTTATTATAACATGTATCACTGCCTGACTGAGGTTAAGTCGCCGTTTCTCCTAAGTGGATGACGAATTAAATGAGACCGTACCCATTGGTACTCGTAAGGACAAAGGAAATTCCACAGCATATCAAAGTGAACGTAAATTACCATCATAAATGGATATTTATGACACGTAAGCCTTTACCGGGCTGTATATTGCACCGACCTTATAATGAGATCAGACATTATATCACTTAACAAAATATTCATATGCATATAAAAACTAATATCACAGGGTTTTTAAAATAAAAAATATATAGATATAACTATATATGTATATCAATCAAAAAAAATCAA